AAGTATTGCTTGACATAACAACCCCTTCCACACAGGAATCACCACTCTCCAGGAGCTCAGCATATTTAAGTTTAGCCTTGTCAATAAATGATTCTTTCTCTAGAAAATAATCATGCTTTCCAATATTCAAATGAATCAAAATATTTTTTATGTGCACGTCAGTTTTCTAAACCGTAAAATTATAGACACATAATATGAAGTAGAAATATATCATGAATTACTGGGCTACCTGTGTCTAATTACGTATTCAGTGTGACAGTTTCCAGAACATGAAGTGACAAGCTTGTTTCCTGGGCTAAAATATAATCGAATTTTCGCTCTTTTCCTCATCCAAAGGTAAGACTTAATTAAGAACTTATATTTTACAGGTTTTCAAATGATTGTTACCGATTTGTGTGCCAAATATTTGGCTCGACAGTGTTATATTCATTGTATTTATTGTTTGGCCGTTTGCGCCAAAGGTCAAGTTTATGTGACATATGAGAGCTTTTTCGCGTACTTCAAAACAATTGCCCAAAGATTTGATTCAAACTTCTTAAAGTACATTGTTAGAACTACAAAATATCCAGATTTCATGAGCTTTAAAGGTTTCGCAAATTCGCAGTTAGCCAGTTTGTTCACCCTACTTTTTGCGACTTAAAATACATCTCTAGGGAAAATAACGCTTTCAATATGTTTTAATCCGTTAACCACGCTCAAAGTCACGCTATTCATAAACAAAGTGTGGTGTTACAAAGGCTCAAAGGTATTTTTCTGTTTGCGTTACTTGGTGTTTATTTAGAGCTTCATAAAGTCGAGCCAAAATCGACAGCGAATATCGACATTTCGAGGTGCCTCTAGAAAAAGTCGATTTTCTCAGTTTTATTGCAAAATTGAAGCAAACCAAATACATAGGGATTCTTAGGAAACATTCCTCTACCTACCTACAAAATATGAGCGAAATCGATTTTTCAGCCGTTGCCACGGATTTTCGATTTTGTTTGATCGTTACGGACACTCACTCTTAAAAGCATATCTAAAAATCATCTGAATTCAAGGCAAGTTCTTTCCATTTGGCTTTCCAGACTGCACTGGTTGTAAATCAAAGTTGTTCATCTTAATTAATCAAAATGGGAATATCAAAATCATAGTAGCAGTGTGTGTCAATAACCTTTTTAACACAAAACAAAAAGAAGAGTCTGTACTCTCTTTAAGACTATAAATACAGTGTACATCAGTCTAACAAATTATTCTTAGTGTTCTTTAAAAAAATGCTATTTTGTGATTAATCAAGCTAAAAAAAACTCTAAAACTTGTAAGGTTTTTTAAAAGTATTTATTATAAGTAATAGCATGGCTCTGAGGGAGATTAGGGATTAAATGTCCCTGAATCGTCCCTCATGCTATTCATGAGGGAGGGATGTTCGATTGTAAACATCCCTCGGAAGACAAAAGAATCCGAGGTGATCATGGTATTATAAAAGCTAAAATACTATATAAATTTYAAAATAAGTGGAGAATTATTACAACCATCTGCAATTTCCTACCTTTCCGTAATGATACTGAAAAGATCTGTRGCAACAAAGCTATGTGAACACAATCATTAAACTTCATGTACTATAGCATATGATATCATTTAATCTTTTATAATCTTTTCAATAGCACAAGTAGTGCTTTCATCAATGAAAATAATATACAACTAAAGCTTAATCACATTTTAAACTACAGGTAACAGTTTTAAACAATGAAAAAACAATTAATAATGGTTATAACAATTTCTCCTCTCATTGTTTAAATTTTTTCTTTTAATATCTTTTAATATGGCTATGATTTACTAAACCAAATTCAACTGTATATTTTCTCTACAATTATAAAGAAGACCCTGTAATGTTCTAGCTTTGTGACAATTTATGGCAGCCAAGCTTCTGCAACACTTCCAAGGACATCCACTGGAGAACCTGAAATGTCAACGTACTAGTTAAACCTATAACTTATAAATTCATAAAAATGAAAAAATACAATGCTCACACATCTGTCAAATACATTTCTCTTCTTCTCTACAATTCTAAAGAAGACCCTGATCATGTAAATACCTYATATGTGTATTGCTAAGCTTCTCTTCAACTGTTTTGCTAATACACAAATCTCCACAGGAGAACTTGCTGTTAGCCTTTCCATAATCCTTTCWAATGCACTCAATGTTTGTATGGAAGTAAGCAGCCTGTAATCTCCCCGTTCTCAGATTTCCAGTATTCTTGTCCACAAATAGCCTGGACTCTTTGTGGGAAACAGCATCGGACAAGTTTTTCACAGTGTATTGTCCACCTGCAGCCTTTGATATTGTCATTGTCAGAGGAGGTGTAGTGTTCTCCTTGGTTCTTTTTCTCACCCTTTGTCCTGGTGTTTTCCCAACA